CTCATACACCCTCAGGGCCATTTCACCCCCAATATGCCCTGAGGGTGTTCCCATAGGGGAGAGGCTCAGGAGGGGAGGCAGATCCCATCTCCCCATATAGCACTGAGCGCATGTGTAATGGCCAGGTCAGTAGCACATTCACACACATTCACTAGAGCGTGCATACATGTGTGTTAGATTAGAAGAGTTTAGGGAATGCTTATTATGACACTGGTCCGCCTCTCCATGTCACAGAATCAGTATCACAGCGCCAGCTCAGAGAGGTAGGTATCCTCAGTTTCCTTGGCGATAGTCAGAACTAGAAACACCCCACCGAGAGGAAACAAACACATTCCTTCTACAAACACCCATCTTCAGTCTTGAAAACATAAAGGTGGGTGGCTTTTAATGAACTCTTTGCCTCTGTTCTCCTATTCTCTCAAAGATGTCCGGTCGGGTCCATAGAACCATATTTCAGCTGCTTCCGGACTCCTATTAATACCCAGTTAGGGCTGTGTTGCGGTAAACAGGATGCAGGGCTGGACTGTAATTCAATAGAGGGAAGGAGCTGTGGAGAGCAGCAGGGAGCTAGCTGAGATAGAGAGGGGACGGCCTGGGAGTCAGAGTCAAGGTGCCATTGGTTAGGAGTGAGGAGGCCAAGCAAGGGTGAGATGACTGTAATACCCTAGACAGTCTAGAGCTGCCCTTGTCGTATGGCCTTTACCATATATTTTTGTTTGGCTCTGAAGTAGACATGATCCTAAGTAATTTGTTAAAGGCCTAAAATCACAGAACGGGGAGAGGGAAGGTATAGTGTTGCGCACAATAAGAGTGTAGGAGTGGGATAGGGTATAAGGCTATCTGTTTCCCTGGATCTGTTAGGGGTGTGTGGGTGTAAACTAAACTACTGTATCTCAGGTTGCCTGGAGCTCTTGGCGGAGAGTTTTAGGGGGATCCGATGATAGAGTTAATCCACAGACTCTAATAAAAGGAACAATGCAGGTGGGAGTCAAGTCAAGACACACACGTTTATATAACACACGTTTGGAGAAACGGTATCACATAACCACCCTAAGCACTAATAGGCATTTCCTCTTGACAAGGTAGAGAACAGAATCACTACATAACCAAGTGACTTGGGTTACTTCATTCAGTGAGTTAGTATAGTACAGATCGTATGTATTGGTAAGTGAATCTAAAAGTACCCAGTGTCTAGCCGAACACCAGTGAAAGTCATGGGACTAACTCAGTGGAGGCTGTTGAGGGGAGGACGGCTCATAATAATGGCTGGAACGGAGCAAATTGAAGGGCATCAAACGCATGGAAACCATGTGTTTAATGTATTTGATATCATTCCACTGATTCCGCTCCAGCCATTACCACGAGCCCGTCCTCCCCAATTAAGGTGCCACCAACCTCCTGTGGACTAACTAGCCTTTCTCTCTCAGAATATGTGTAATAATAATCATCAGCACAATCATTGTGATATAGGACACATTACAGAGAGACAATTAAGAGACACCAGTTGGATACAAAATGTGCTGAAGAATAGATTCTGTGGTGAAGACAAAACGTCTAAATGACTAAAATGTAAATGTAAATGTAGCCCAATCAGCTAGTTGAGGAACGGACAGAATGTGATGACGGAGAAATAAAGAATAACAAGAGAGGAGGAGGTCAGGGGAATGAGTGGACCCAGGGGTCCCGTGTGGCGCAGTTGGCAGAGCATGGTGCTTGCAACCCCAGGGTTGTGGGTTCTATTCTGACGGGGGACCAGTGCGGAATTGTATGAACATGTATGCACTCACTACTGTACGTCGCTCTGGATAAGAGCGTCTGCTAAATCAGGGTTTCCCAAGCTTGGTGCTGGGGCCCCCACCTGGGTGCACGTTTAGCTTTTTGCCCTAGCACTACACAGCTGATTCAAATAACCAACTCATCATCAAGCTTTGATTATTTGAATCAGCTGTGTAGTGCTAGTGCAAAAACATTGGGTTCTTTGTGTTGAGGGATTAATGAAGGTGATGAGTGGAGGAGGCAGGAGAATATCAGCCGTACACACAGAGACCAGAGCTCTTCTGTTTGAGTCGTGACAGAGGACCTCAGGCCAGCAATGATGACCTCATCCACTACTTATAGCCTGATCTGGCCATAGTGCTCCACTAACAGAAGTGGAAGATTGACCCTGCTGGGCCACCGTACTGCTACTCTTAATGCACTGTGACTGGATTAATTAATTCAGAGCTGCCTCAATCTAATGTCCAAACAAGTAATCACTATTCCACACACACACACATTGCCAATAGTAATAAGATCACACACATTTTGGCTCTTTGTGCCCTCCTGAATCCCAAGGGTACTCCGGGTGGGTGAGGTTAACTCCAAATTGCTGTTATCCTCAGTCTAATGCCCTCCGAAAGCTGAATACAGCTAATATGGCCCAATGCTGTAATCTGGGGACCATACTGCACTAGGGCAGATGGGGGTCGGGGAATTAACCCGCTCTAGGGCGGCATCCAGAGAAGTGGCAAGCTCAACAGGGCATATGTTTAGAAACGGTTGCTGAAGTGAGTTTTAAAAAAAAATGCAACCCTGAACTTCTACTTCTGACAGGACTGAGGGCAGGGTCAGTGAGAGTTGGCCAGTGAGAGGGATCATGACGAGACACAGGTAAGCCGCTTGACCTCTGATCTGAATGTGGCGAGAAACCTCCCATTGAAGCCAATGATGACATCATCCTGCATACAATGGCAAAGGGGCAGTCCATCTCCACATGGGCTCCAGCATGTGTGTTGCACTATAGGCCAGAGAGGTTATCGAACAGACAGCTACCCTGGAAAGCTGAGAGAGACATACCAACCTCCCGAAATTCTAAACCTTTACCCTTGCCGATGTCATGCCTGCTGTCTACTAAAGTCACAACAGTTCAGCAGCTTCCCTGTCTAACCCTCTCCCAACCAGAGACCCACCCACACCAAACCTCATAACTGAAGGGAAACAAACACAGCTGCTCCCCCTCCTACACCACCCAGCCATCTTGGCCCTGTGGACTGCTTCACTAACACGCAGCTCCTGTTTCAATACAGCCAACAAACAACCCAAAGCCCTTCACTGTACAGTACCTCAGACTTAAACACCCAAACATACGCTTGATCTGTGATGAATACAGCCTGCTGGTCCTTCATCCATCATTGAGGAAAGAAACAAAAGCCCTTAAAGTAATTAAGCTTTAACAGAAGTTGATCTTATTCAAATTTGGGTGAGATGGGGATCTTTTTGTTTGTACAATCCAAGCCACCATGGGGCGGCGCACAATTGGCCCAGCGTCGTCCAGGGTAGGGGAGGGAATGGCCGGCAGGGATGTAGCTCAGATGGTAGAGAATGGCGTTTGCAACGCCAGGGTTGTGGGTTCGATTCCCACGGGGGCCAGTATGAAAAAAATAATTTAAAAAATGTATGCACTAACTGTAAGTCGCTCTGGATAAGAGCGTCTGCTAAATGACTAAAATAAAATAAATAAAAAAAGGTCACTTGGTCCAAATAATTGTAGTTACACCAGATTCACAAGGGCCTCCCTTGACATGAACCTCTGACTCAAGTTCCACAAATCTAGAGTGGAACTCCTTCCTGAAGTACACTATATATACAAAAGTATGTGGACAGCCCTTCAAATTAGTGGATTCGGCTATTTCAGCCACACCTGTTGCTCAAAGGTGTATAAAATCGAGCACACAGCCATGCAATCTCCATAGTCAAACATTAGCAGTAGAATGGCCTTACTGAAGAGCTTAGTGACTTTCAACGTGGCACCATCATAGGATGCCACCTTTCCAACAAAAAAAAGTCAGTTCGTCAAATTTCTGCCCTGCTAGAGCTGCCCCGGTCAACTGTAAGTGCTGTTACTGTGAAGTGGAAACGTCTAGGAGCAACAACGGCTCAGCCGCAAAGTGGTAGGCCACACAAGCTCACAGAATGGGACCGTTGAGTGCTGAAGCGCGTAGCGCGTAAAAATCGTCTGTCCTCGGTTGCAACATTCACTACCGAAGTTCCAAAATGCCTCTGGAAGCAACGTCAGCACAATAACTGTTCGTCGGGAGCTTCATGAAATGGGTTTCCATGGTCGAGCAGCCTAAGATCACCATGCGCAATGCCAAGCATCGGCTGGAGTGGTACAAAGTTCGACGCCATTGGAATCTGGAGAAGTGGAAACGCATTTTCTGGAGTGATGAATCAAGCTTCACCATCTGGCAGTCCGATGGACGAATCTGGGTTTGGTGGATGCCAGCAGAACGCTATCTGCCACAACGCATAGTGCCAACTGTAAAGTTTGGTGTAGGAGGAATAATGGTCTGGGGCTGTTTTTCATGGTTCGGTCTAGGCCCCTTAGTTCCAGTGAAGGGAAATCTCAACGCTACAGCATACAATGACATTCTAGATGATTCTGTGCTTCCAACTTTGTGGCAACAGTTTGGGGAAGGCCCTTTCCTGTTTCAGCATTACAATGCCCCCTTCCACAAAGCGAGGTCCATACAGAAATGGTTTGCGAGATCATTGTGGAAGAACTTGACTGGCCTGCACAGAGCCCTGACCTCAACCCCATCAAACACCTTTAGGATGAATTAGAACGCCGACTGCGAGCCAGGCCTAATCGCCCAACATCAGTGCCCGACCTCACTAATGCTCTTGTGGCTGAATGGAAGCAAGTCCCCGCAGCAATATTCCAACATCTAGTGGAAGGCCTTCCCATTAGAGTGGAGGCTGTTATGGCAGGATAGGGAGGACCAACTCCATATCAATGCCCATGATTTTGGAATGAGAGGTTCGACGAGCAGGTGTCCACATACATTTGGTCATGTAGTGTATGTATTTTTGAGACATTGCCGACAATGCTTTCTACTCTACTGCCTTATGGACCCACTTATCGACTGTCTGCATTAATCCCAGTTGGCCTATTCCATGGGACACCAGAGCAGCAGGACAGACCCAGTGGAGACAGACAGAAAGACAGACAGTGGAGTAGGCTAGTAGGGAACCAGTGCCGGTAGAGCATCAGGCAGGGGAGGACAGGGGAGCGTCAGGGCAGCAGCACCCAGGCAGGCGCTCTTTTCCCTGGGCTGAGCTCCGAGTGTCGCTGTGCCCTGGCCTGGCTCCCAGACATCCATAAGCCCTGAGCACAGCGGCTGGGATTCATCCTCTTAGACCCAGAAGGGAGGGGATTTGGGACTTTATTTAGTGCCATTTAGAAAAGATTAGCCCTTAATTGCGGAGCGGGCGTCCGGCACAGTGCCGCCACAGATGAAAGGAACAGTTAAAATACACTGTAAAACAAAATGGGGAGGGGTGGATGGATCCCAAAGTGAAGCATCCACATCAAACACACATGGTCTGGTAGCTCCAGGGAGGGAGGCCCTGTCCATCACTGACCAATCCCACTATCAAGGCTCCATATTGGGGCAAACACCCCAGACAAACACCCCCTACTACTAGAGCCTAATCCAACTGTGGGACTACAACAACCAAACTGAGAATTACTTTAGGACATCTCTTCCCTTATACGGGATCCTAGGTAGAGCTGTGGCGGTCAGCCGGTGATTGTCAACCAAATAATTGTCGGTCTCACGGTAATTGACCCGTAATTAGCATCTCCCGGCTTCCACACATGCAGACCTTTGGAACATCTACATTTAAAAAAGTCTAATAAATCCATGTAATATAGCCTACACCTTCACAATAAATGCATTATTTATTTTAGACAGGTCTAAAGAAACACGATATGAAGAAAATGTAGTCTATTTCAGAAGAACAGAATAGCATACTCTGAGTTGTCCTTATGTTAGGCCCTGATCTGGCTATGCCATATGGCTGTGGGCTACTCTAGTTCATTTAGCAGACAAGATTTGCTTAGAATTCCGTGGCATTATTTTATATTGTTTTATAGTATGAAGAATACTATTGAACATAACTGAATAAAATAGAAAGGATATTTTCTCCAAACGATTTGAAGGAGTCTATTCTGGGTTGAGCGTTTAACAAAGAAAGAGGTACTCTGATATTCTTAATTTAGAGTTATTAATGTAACTTTAGTTGTTCTAAAAACGTTGGGTTATATGTTTTGATTTTTAATACATTGTAAGGCTGCATGATGGGACTCTTATGATGATTTGAAAAAAGTCACTTGAAAGGCATGAGCTCTATTAAATGCTGAATGCTGCCTGCTCCGAAGCACCTCATCTCACTTACACGGCTCTCCATCACGTGATCGGGTCTTTCCCACAGGCTACAAGTGAAGACCGACACATCGGGGACGCAACTGCGCGCGTCCTTATCCAATTCCGAGGTGCATATTGAAGATATTGGAAGAACTGTCCACATTTACTTTTCATCAGCCAACAAGATGAGTAGGCCTAACGAACAGCAAAACCACTAGCCTATGTCAGTCTACTATCCCCGATAGTACAAAAGTCGACCTATTCTGTGCGAGGAATAAATATTCCAAACATAGTCTGGGACAGTTGTGGGATGCGATAGATCCCAAATTAATACAACCACTAGCATCAAAAAAACGTTTTTACGCAATGAGGCTGACACAACAGATCAGAACGTTTAGCTTAAAATGTAGATAAACTATTTGGCTATTTCTTCACATTATAAGCGCAGCAATGCGCACATGGTAGTAGGCTATAAGCGCGAATGTTCCATTAGCGGAAAAAACCATTATCAAAAGTGACTAAAAATCAGATTATGCATGTAATGCTTTTATTATAAAGGTGCATTTATGGTGAAAATTATCTTCCCCAAACTTGAAATTCACGCGCTGCTTATGTATGCCAGTTAGACTCTACACCCCTTATAAAGTGGAATAATGTGCTTAATATTAAGAAGTTATTTGGCCACTTTAGTTGTGATACAAACCTTATCAAAACATATAGGCCTATGGGCTAGGCTACATGAGGTGTGCGATTATGAATCAAAAAGGTCACACAAAAAAGGCATTGTTTCTTATGCTGGGCATCATTCACAAGTTATAGGCTAATATTGTCCCCCATCAGACTAGTCTTGATTTAATATTGTCTTTACATAAACTAAATAACATATGTGTGAAATTTGTTTTGATTTAGAATGGACCAAACAGGGGCAGGGGGAAAAATACATGTCATCTCTGCACTTAAATAGCGAATGGAGGACACTTTTCTTGTGGTTTATTTTCATGCCAGCCAGGTAGGTTATACTCCTGTTGTAAAGATAAGCAATGTGCTTAATATTTGCTTAATATTAGGAAAGTTGAGAAATAAATATAGTAGGGCTAGCCTATAGAAAGCTGATGGGATCCTCCTCTTTTTAATAGAGGCCATCACTTTGTTTTCTCGCAATTGCATAGCCTATTGAAATGTTCCGCAACATGAGCTCATGAGCTCTAATGAAGTGTTTGATTAGATTTTCGATTTCATTTGCATTGATGTCAGAGTGATTAGAGGGACAATAGAGTGCTGAGTACCAGGCAGTTAGCACGTTTGGTAGGCTTCTAATGACCATCAGTAGCATCAGAGCTTGGAGAAGCCTAATTACCATGACTAAACGGTCACGTGGAATTTGACTGCCTTCATGACTCATGACCGCCGGTGTGGCGGTAATACGGTCCCCGCAACAGCCCTAATCCTAGGTCTTTGACACAACGAACACAGTGGAGGGGTTTAAAGTCACACCAAACATCTTTGTTAAAGGACATATAGATATGTGCTTCAGTGATATGGCATTTAAAAAGGGACAAAAGTGACCAGTCCTTTCAAATATGGCCACAATGGGACCCCTCTCAATCTCTCCTGTCATCCCTCTGTGTTCTGGGAGCGTTTAACGCTCCCTTCATCTGTGACACTCAAGACCTGTTAACCCCACCAGGCTCAGGCACACAAAGGCCAGCGAGCCGAGTACAGAGTGCCCAGTTCTTCTGAGCTTAACTGTGTTATAGCCTCCGATTGTCAGGGAGAATTCCACAGTCTGATGCCCAGTTGCTGGAGAGCGAGGGAGTGAGGAAAAAGAGGGAGAGAGGGAGGGTGCATAACTGAATGGCTATAGTGTGTTCTCTGACACTCTCCACAATGTCACAAGAAGCCAGAGAACACTGGCCTTTGTCATGACAACAGTAGTGTGTGTGTGTGTTGACTAACAGCATTGGTCCAGCATTGGAGAGAAACAGAGAAAAAGATGTGGAAAGAGAAGGCTATGGATTGTTCTATGGGGCCGTTGTCTGCTCCCATAATAATTTTAGAATGCTGTCATCTTTATGGCACCCGGTCAACCTCGTGACAATCGGTTCCACAGGCCTGAGAGAGGCCCGGAGCTTTAGAATTGCTACATGTAACAGCAACAGTTGCTTGAGATGATGTCACATGCAATATTGCATCCTAGTTGTGTAACACCAGCCTCAACATTCACAACAAGACAGATATGCCACAGTCTCAGTGAAGTTGCACCTAATCACTGTTTTTCATCCCTGTAATAGTTATGGTTAAAATGGGTTTTGAGGAAACCTCAATTTCCAGCCCAGTGATGAACGAAACATGGAAGGAAGGCATCACGAGACTATGGGGTTAAAGAAATCTAATCCTGGATCTGTTGTTGGGGACAACTTCTCCCACGAGTCACAAGAACAGTTAAAGAAAGGTGTGGTACATGATGTCATTGCTGAGTGGTTTAAATTAAGAATATAAACAACAGCTGTGGGGGCTCTAGTCTGTAAACCTGTGATATCATCAACTGGTAAGGTGAAGGTGTAGTATAATATCATTAACATGTCATTTGAAGTTGTACTGTTAATGGTAAAGAGGTTAAAGTCCACAGTCTTATCATCACAAAGTGGAGAGTATAGCAGCCTAATCACGTTATAGGACTAAGGAGGATTGTGCTAAACCTGCTCTTATAAACCTACGCTTTGACAGCAAGTTTACCTTGTGTTTTGATAGGGATGTTATCATTGGAGACTAAGGAGATTAACAAAAGGAAACGAGGAAAGGAATCCATTTTAAATTATTGAGAAGCACCCTAGGACACCTCAGAGGAGCCAGGGCCAAGTGACCCAGGATGTAGGCCTAACAAGCCAACAGAGGGACACTCTAATCCAAGATAGCCGGAGCAACTCCCTCTTTATGGGCTATCAATGGGTCACAACAGTCACCAAACAGTAAGCACTCTCTACCCCTAAAAGGTGGGGTAAGATTGGGGGAGGGAAAAGTTAGCTTGCCAACGGTCCACTCACTCACAAACAATGACAAGAGTCAAAGCATAGCCAAACAGAGAGATTGTGACCTTATGTTACAGTAACATGTAATGGGAGGGTGTGAGACCCAAGGAATGACAATATACCAGCAGTAGGAATCTAAAGCCTGAGCATTATGTTAGTATGGAAGCAGCATGTCAGGGCGACTAGCAATTAGCATGGCAGGATTCCTAGAAAACTGGCTACTACAAAACCTGGAACAACATGAGGGAAATAACATGTAAAGAATCAGTGGATGGACCTATAGAAAGACAGAAAATATCCTCAGAATATACAATATCAAATCCATCCATAGGATGGTCTCTTATGGTTCATTATATATGTGCCATAAAGCCTTAATTTGCAGAGCAGCAGCCTCAGTCACACACTCACAGTCACACTGGTAGTAACACCTGCTGGGAAGGCAGCATGCCGGATGCTCAAATTAAGGCAAAGATCTGTGCTGTTACTAGGCAACAGCACAGAGAGGAATTCCCCCAACTTATTGCACTGCCTCCCAAGTGGTGTTGACTAGCGCGTGTGAGTGTGTGTGTGTGCGTGTGTGTGTCCTCTTCTGCAGGTTTGTCCTTCCCTGCCCCCGGGGTTAGACCTACTCCAGTTTAAAGGGCAACTGGACTTTGCTCACTGCCACCAATGATTTCTGGCCTGCTTTTTCCCACCCAGATTGGGACAAAAGAGTAACAACTGTCCTTTTAACACACAACAAATATGAATGATGTGCCCACGCAGAGACAGGCGGAGTATCTGTGTCATCTGGACAGGGCCAATGTTGGACAGACAGTGGTGTGTAAATCTCCCAGGTCTTTTCTTCCGAGCTGTCTAAGTCCTCAGAGAGGACAACCAAAGAGTAAGGACAACCAAACATGTTATTTACCAGTGTAAATAGTAGCCAGGTACAACTGTGTAATAACCATCTCCAGAGACAATGGACATCCAACATTTACCTGACTAGACAGTAGTCCAACAGTCCTAACAACCCCTAGAGACAAAGACAGCCAACATTCTGTTTGTATAAGTCAGCTAGACCATCTGACCAGTCGCCAAAGCAAACTAATTGCTGCTAATAGCGCTCCCTTAACTCAGCACACAGTGGCAGGCAAATAGAAATTAGCTATTTGAATTCAGACAACCCTAGTACTATAACGACATGAGTGCACTGTACTTCTAGAGGCCATCTGAGTTAATAGTGTGTTTCAGCAGAATAACATCTCTCCCTCTTCTATTACAGATTATTCTATTCAGGCATCCTGTATAACATGAAATATGAAGTTTTGTTCTTATTGTATTGTATTATTGTATTTTCTGTGGATATCGTCCACTGAGATAAGGTGTATTTTTCAAATGTTTTTTTTCAGGGGGCTGAAGCACCTACTTCCCACAGCTATGCATCGAGGGCAGTCATTAAAATGAATTAAAGAATCAATTCAATTTGGCACATAGCAAACGGATCCAGGCATGACTCTACGGAAATCTCAATATCCACAATAGGCCCACAAATGGCAACCCCACAAACAATTAACTGATTTCCTGGTGGACAAGTCTTAATGATCATCAAACCAGAATCGCTCAAACAAACGGTGGATATTAGACATTTGTTCATTCAAAACACAATTTTCCGTGACTACCCAATGAGTCATCACCAACATCTTAAGTCAGACAAAAATGCAATGATTCAGGCTGTTTTTTTAAACAATTGTCTGCTTGGAAAAGCGGAAGAAAAACAAAAGCACCCCTATAATTATCTTGAAGCAATCAGTTTACCCTATTGTTGCTCTTTCGCTGTCAGTCTGTTTCCTCTATTCAGGAGGTTTCCATGTTATTCTGAGATACTGGCCAAAGGAATGCATGGGAACACAGAGCAGAGGCAGCTGAGAAAGCACCAAGAAATCCTCTCAGAGAGAGAGAGAGAGAGAGAGAGAGAGAGAAAGAGAAAGAGAAAGAGAAAGAGAAAGAGAGAGAGAAAGAGAGAAAGAGAGAGAGAAAGAGAGAGAGAAAGAGAGCGAGAGAAAGAGAGCGAGAGAAAGAGAAAGAGAGAAAGAGAGCGAGAGAAAGAGAGCGAGAGAGAGAGAGAGAGAGAGAGAGAGAGGCCTTAAGCTTTTACTGCGTCATATCTGTTCAGCATTCCTCTCGCTCTCTGCCTCATCCCACTCACATATTTACAGACCCAAGGGAGCTGTCATCATAAGGTACCCGGCCCACTGAGCCATGATGATTGGTCTGTTCTAGTCATGTGGGAGGTAACAAGGAAGTAAAATCTCAGAGATAGGTTCCACATAGCAGGAAGTGACTCATCCAGGCCACTGACTCCCTAACCTACTTCTTAAACCGCTCTCCCTCTTTCCTAATCAAACTCACAAGGCTGCTGAAACCTCTGCCAGGAAAAGGAAGGTAGAACTAGGACTGGCGTGTTACATTTAAGTGGGAAAGGGCTTTTCATAGTTTGGAAACACAGGCCAGTCCTTTATCCTGTCTCCCTGCCCTAACTAACAGTCAACATTCCTCCTATTCCTAAATGGTCGAAACTCGTTTAGTTTCCTCTGTGAATAGGTTACTCATCCTTCCTCTTTTTCAGGCGGGAACTTTCAAAATTCAAAAACCACATGCCCGCCTCTTTTTCAAACCAGACTGGAAACACCAGAGAATAAAGGTCCTCTGGTTTGAGAGACTGCTTTAGTAAGAGTATTGTCAAAATTGGCATTAGAGAGGACTTTTGTGTGTTTAAATGAGAGATAAAACTATATCAACCAAGAGCAATTGAGTGAATGTCCACTTCTTTATTAGTTACACATTAATAAACAGGGTGGCAGTGGATAACCATTACTCAGATCCATTAGTGAAGATAGAACTTTCAGCATTTGTCAGATAACTCATCTTCATCCTTGTTGGAGTAGGCCTATAATATTTCAGCGGTGCAATGTACACTGAACAAAAATATAAATGCAACATGTAAAGTGTTGGTCCCATGTTTCATGAGCTGAAATAAAAGATCCCAGAAATTTTTCATACGCACAAAAAGCTTATTTCTCTCAAATTATCTGCACAAATTCTCTTTTGCCAAGATAACTCATCCCCCTGACAGGTGTGGTATATCAAGAAGCTGATTAAACAGCATGATCATTACACAGGTGCACCTTGTGCTGGGGACAATAAAAGGCCACTTTAAAATGTGGAGTTTTGTCACACAACACAATGCCACAGATGTCTCAAGTTTTGATGGAGCGTGCAATTGGCACGCTGACTGCAGGAATGTCCATCAGACCTGTTGCCAGATAATTTAATGTTAATATCTCTACCATCGAGAATTTGGCAGTACATCCAACTGGCCTCAAAATCACAGACCACGTGTATGGCGTCGTGTGGGTAAGCGGTTTGCTGATGTCAACGTTGTGAACAGAGTGCCCCATGGTAGCGGTGGGGTATGGGCAGGCATATGCTACGGACAATGAGCACAATTGCATTTTATCGATGGCAATTTGAACGCACAGGGATACCATGACGAGATTCTGAGGCCCATTGTTGTGCTATTCATCCGCCGCCATCACCTTATGTTTCAGCATGATAATGCACAGCTCCATGTCGCAAAGATCTGTACGCAATTCATGCAAGCTGAAAATGACAATATTCCACAGGCCACAATCAACTGTCTGATCAACTCTATGCGAAGAATATGTGTCGCGCAGCATGAGGCAAATGGTGGTCACACCAGATACTGACTGGTTTTCTGATCCACGCCCATACCTTTTTTTTTTTTTAAAGGTATCTGTGACCAACAGATGCATATCTGTATTCCCAGTCATGTGAAATCCATAGAATAGGGCCTTATTTATTTCAATTGATTTATTTTATTTCAACTGTAACTCAGTAAAATCTTTGACATTGTTGCATGTTGCGTTTATATTTTTGTTCAGTATATTTGAATTCACATTTCAAATCCCACAGCAAATGACCATACACAACAAACACTGTATGGGCATGGAAAAACAGAATGCATTTGTCTCTAACCCCAATATCTTAAATTAGAAAAAGCTAATTCCATAGCAGCTTGGCACGATATTACTAAGCCTATAGCTAGAGAGAAGGGGTAGTATGGCAATAATATCAATTCACCCACAGAGGGGAATCATTGATAGAGCATAAGGCAAAGTTACAAATACATAATCATCCCCTCATCCCCCTACATTTGACCTTGCGGGACTGGGGCTCTGATCAGAATAGAATAGATATTTTCAAAACTAAATTTCAGGACATACTGTATCTTAGGCTAGGCCTACAGTTGCCATTAATAATAAATATGCATACACAATTTGTCCAAACATAAAATGTATGCATTTTATAGCAGTTTAAATTGATATTTCAAATTCATACAGTAAATACACACCGGTAAAAGACTACAACATACCTCTTTGAGCATGTCCAGTTCCTGGCGCACGGTCTCGTATTCGATCTCCAGGTCGTCATACTGATGTTTCAGCTGCTGCTTCTCCTCCAGCACCGCCAGCCCGTACTCCGCCGCCTGGATCTTCTCATGGGTGGTCTCACTCAGCTCCCGGGAAAGGCGCTCGATCTCGGCTCGCAGACACTCGGGTCCGGCCTCTAGCACGAGCATCGCGTCGGAATAGCGCTGCTCCTCCACCGACATACTATGGATGTTGGTGATGGATCAACCTCGGCCGATGCGCCAGCTGAACCTATGACGAACGATGAGGGGGTGAGACGGTTTCAAGAGTGTCCAACCTTGAAGGATCGCGGAGAACCCTTTCGTTGGAATAGATTATTAGATTCTTCTGTATTTGAACTGCATGATCGGTACTCTTGCGTTTCTCGTTGCCACTTTGGGTATTGCGTTTTCGGTCATGAAGCTGTGGTTTCTTTTATTTCTTCCGGCAGGAGAGGCTTTTCTGGTATCCCTAAAACTGCTCCATGACTGCAGCTCCTTTGCCCTTCGCCTCTCCCCGGCTGCTCAGAGCGATTGGGGAGAAGCTGTCCGCGGCTGTCAGATCACTCAGCTGGGAGAGCTAGAAGATGAGAATGGTGGTTGATGGGAAATGTAGTACTACAAACGCCAACGCATAGTATTACAGAAGTCAGGCAAATGCACTCGTATCCCATCAGGCATTGTGTGTAGACTAGTCTAAAGTGAAACGTGTGGTACGTGTGGAACACGGAAGCGGCATTTTATTTTCATAGGAATGGGTATAGAAAATATTCGGTCACCATGCATCTCACGCAATCTGTCGGTTGTTTCTGTAGATTCACGATGCTGTAGGCATAGTGCTCCGTAAGCCATCCCCAGTGGACAGAGCTAGGCATGTTGCACTGGACAAGTTTTAATACGAGTAAACCCTCATTTTACAATGGGTACTTCGCGGAACTGTATAGCCTAGTTATGCTAATATACAGTATTTGAGACCAATGTATTGCAGTTAATTTCGTCTTTCACTTAATAAGTTAAATATCTTTGAGTAATAGGCCTAAACAGTGAAACAACGAGTCCCAGACAGTTCTCAATAGAACATACCAGAGGGGGGCGTTTTTTACTGCTTACATTATGGGATCATCTGAAATCAGTGGCGACCTATCATTCAGGGCAGGGCCTGTTTTGCATGTTATTTTGGCATTAATACGTGTCATATATCAGTTTGCAAACAATGTAAAAAAATTAATAATTGAGCCGCATACAAACATGGTCTCTTTTTTGCTTTCTTGAGTAAGGCAGCTTCAAAATGCATGTGTTTCAGCCTAGCTCAGTGCTTTCTGTGGTTGTGGGGCAGCCAGCGGAAAATACAGAGCGTAGGGGTAGGTAATGTTTTCTAGTTGCGCCGTGATTGGCTCAGTGTTCTGTCACTCATCGGGACACTACATTACCGCAAAATCTACAGGGAGAGCTAGAAAGTTCAAGCCCCTTGGGTGCTGCCATAGATTTACATTAAAAGTGCCCATCCAAGAAGGCTCAAGGTCATTGGCCACAGATAAAATGACGTCAAATCACGTTATATCTACCGTGGCTTTGATTGGACTGATCACGTCAACATCATACTTTCAAAATCTTAGCTAGCTAGCTAAACAAGCAGTCATCATCATGAATCAAGTTGACAATCTACTGGCAAATCCTTTTCAATCCTTGTCATATGAAGATAAAACGTATCGGTTGTCATCAGCCATTGGACATAAACATTACACAACAAGTTTGAAATCGTAAATTCAACATTGAGTGGTTTGGAAGGAATCATTGGCTAACTGCAAACGTTGCAAAGCAATCACTAGCCTGCTATTCGTTGTTGTTGGCTAATCAGCCTTGAGCTAGCCTTGAGTCAAGCACATCCCCGGCTATCTACCTCTCTGTCAACCGGACGGGACCTCCTAGAGTCGACACGGAGCCCTGCCGATCCATCACGACTGGTCTGCCGACGTAATCATCTGGGGTTTTAACCGGCTTCCCGTTGCGACGACCACGAAGATCCATCTGCTAGCCCCGGCCCGCTAGCACACGCAAACTACAACCGTGCTTTTATTTTATTTATTTTTTATTTCACCTTTATTTAACCAGGTAAACCAGTTGAGAACAAGTTCTCATTTACAACTGCGACCTGGCTTCCTGCTCGCTGTGCTGAAGCACCAATTTGAACTGCTCTCGGACTCACATATTGCTGTTCACTGGACCTTATGATCACTCAGCTGCACAGCTGATGCCTGCTGGACTGTTCCTTTACATGGTACCCTGTCCTGTTTATTCTGTTTAGCCTCAGCCCAAACTTTATCGCCATTACCAGTTGTTGTCTTAGCTCTCTCTAATAACACCAGTGATTGCTTTATGCCTCTCTCTCATGTCAATATGCCTTGCCTATTGCTGTTCCAGTTAGTTCTTATTATACAATTTCACTGTAGAACTCCAAGTCCCTCTCAAACAGAGCAGGGATGTAGCTCAGTTGGTAGAGCATGGCGTTTGCAACGCCAGGGTTGTGGGTTCGATTCCCACGGGGGGCCAGTATGAAAAATAAAAAAGAATGTATGCACTAACTGTAAGTCGCTCTGGATACGAGCGGCTGCTAAATGACTAAAATGTAAATGTAATCTTTAGGGCGGCAGGTAGCTTAGTGGTGAAGAGCGTTGTGCCAGTAACCGAAAGGTCGCTGGTTCTAATCCCCGAGCCGACTAGGTGAAAAATCTGTCGATGTGCCCTTGAGCAAGGCACTTAACCCTAATTGCTCCTGTAAGTCGCTCTGGATAAGAGCGTCTGCTAAATGACCAATTATTATTATTATTATTATTATTATTATTATTAAACTGCCTCAAATAGTTCCTTTGTTCCACCCCCCATACACGCCGAGACCGGCTCAATCGGTGCCTCCAGTGATGCTATCTCTTTCATTGTTACCCAACGCTTAGGTTTACCTCCACTGTACTCATATCCTTCCATATCCTTGTCTGTACATAATGCCCTGAATCTTTTCTACAATGCCCGGAAATCTGCCCCCTTTATTCTCTGTACCCAACGCACTAGAAGACCAGTTCTTAAAGCCTTTAGCCGTATCCTTATTCTAGTCCTCCTCTGTTCCTCTGGTGATGTAGAGGCTAACCCAGGCCCTGCAGCCCCCAGTATCACTCCTACTCCCCAGGAGCTATCATTTGTTGACTTCTGTAACCGTAAAAGCCTTGGTTTTCTGCACGTTAACATCAGAAGTCTACTTCCTAAGTTTGAGTTATTCACTGCGTTAGCACACTCCGCCAACCCTGATGTTCTAGCAGTGTCTGAATACTGGCTTAGGAAGGCCACCAAAAATTCTGAAATGTCCATCCCCAACTACAACATTTTCCGTCTAGATAGAACTGCCAAAGGGGGTGGAGTTGCAATCTACTGTAGAGATAGCCTGCAGACCTCTATCATACTATCCAGGTCTGTGCCCAAACAGTTTGAGCTTCTACTTAAAAAAATCCAACTTTCCAGAAATAAGTCTCTCACTGTTGCCGCTTGCTACAGACCACCCTCAGCCCCCAGCTGTGCCCTGGATACCATATGTGAATTGATTGCCCCCCATTTATCCTCAGAGGTCGTACTGCTTGGTGACCTAAATTGGGATATGCTTAACACCCCAGCCATCCTACAATCCAAACTAGATGCCCTCAATCTCACACAAATTATCAACGAACCTACCAGGTACAACCCTAAATCCGTAAACATGGGTACCCTCATAGATATCATCCTGACTAACTTACCCTCTAAATACACCTCCACTGTCTTCAACCAGGATCTCAGCGATCACTGCCTTATTGCCTGCGTCCATAACGGGTCTGCGGTCAAACGACCACCCCTCATCACTGTCAAACGCTCCCTAAAACACTTTAGCGAGCAGGCCTTCCTAATTGACCTGGCCCAGGTATCCTGGATGGATATAGATCTCATTCCGTCAGTAGAGGATGCCTGGTTGTTCTTTAAAAGACATTTCCTCTCAATCTTAAATAAACATGCCCCATTCAAAAAATACAGAACTAAGAACAGATATCGCCCCTGGTTCTCCTCAAACTTGACTGCCCTTGACCAGCACAAAAACATCCTGTGGCGTACTGCATTAGCATCAAATAGCCCCCGCGATATGCAACTTTTCAGGGAAGTCAGGAACCAATATACACAAGCAGTTAGGAAAGCAAAGGCTAACTTTTTCAAACAGAAATTTGCATCCTGTAGCACTAACTCCAAAAAGTTTTGGGACACTGTAAAGTCCATGGAGAATAAGAGCACCTCCTCCCAGCTGCCCACTGCACTGAGGCTAGGAAACACTATCACCACCGATAAATCTACAATAATCGAGAATTTCAACAAGCATTTTGCTACGGCTGGCCATGCTTTCCACCTGGATACCACTACCCCGGCCACCAGCTCTGCACCCTCCGCTGCAACTTGCCCATGCCCCCCCCGCTTCTCCTTCACACAAATTCAGACATCTGATGTTCTGAAAGAGCTGCAAAATCTGGACCCCTACAAATCATCTGGGCTAGACAATCTGGACCCTTTCTTTCTAAAACTAGCCACCGAAATTGTCGCAACCCCTATTACTAGCCTGTTCAACCTCTCTTTCGTAACGTCTGAGATCCCCAGAGATTGGATAGCTGCCGCGGTCATCCCCCTCTTCAAAGGGGGTGACACTCTAGATCCAAACTGTTACAGACCTATATCCATCCTGCCCTGCCTTTCGAACGTTTTTGAGAGCCAAGTTAACAAACAGCTCACCGACCATTTCGAATCCCACCGTACCTTCTCCGCTATGCAATCCGGTTTCCGAGCTGGTCATGGGTGCACCTCAGCCATGCTCAAGGTCCTAAACGATATTATAACCGCGATCGATAATAGACAGTACTGTGCAGCCGTTTTCATCGACCTGGCCAAGGCTTTCGACTCTGTCAACCACCGCATTCTTATTGGCAGACTAAATAGCCTTGGTTTCTCAAATGACTGCCTCGCCTGGTTCACCAACTACTTCTCAGACACAGTTCAATGTGTCAAATCGGAGGGCCTGTTGTCTGGACCTATGGCAGTCTCTATGGGGGTGCCACAGGGTTCAATTCTTGGGCCGACTCTTTTCTCTGTGTATATCAATGATGTCGCTCTTG